AGAGAGAGAGAGAGAGAGAGAGAGAGAGAGAGAAAGGCAAAACGGATACAAGACGTCGCATGCTCGATTCACCAAGGAGGAGATCGAGATGAGTGAGAAGGATATTGTCAATGAAAAGGAGAAGAGAAAAGCATCAACTGACCAGTGTCTTGTCCTGTTTGCTCCTGTCGACTTTCATTTTGATTTTCAGCCCGGAGATCGACGACCTCCTCGTGTTCTTTTTAGGTATTAGCAAGTGCAGTATGCCACACAAATGCATCACTTCGTCGTCTGACGATGAGTCGTACACTCCGCGAAAATACTTACTGTACTGCAAAGGCTCCTGAGTCCTTGATCAGATCAAACACTGGTGGATGAAGCTGGTGATTACCTCGCTTTTCTCGTCTTTCTTTTCGCGCTTATCCTTCTTTGATTTCTTGTCCTGTACCAAAATCAACGATTCAGCAGCCTAAGATCATTCTAGATCACTTTATGCTTTCTCTCTTTCTTCTTTGCCTTTTTCTTTTTTTTTGACTTTTTTGACTTTCGATCCTTATCCGAATCAGAGTCCGACTCCGACTCTGAGCTCGATCCTGACACTGATTTCTTCGATTTCTTTTCTTTCTTGCGTCTCTTCTTGCTGCGTTTCTCTGAGGTCGGCGAGCGACTTGCAAGAAATGATTCAGATGCAGCCCTCAAAGAGTATCGATTACTCTCTCTTCCGAGTCCGCGACTCCGAGCTTGAATCACTTCCCGAGCTTTCGCTGGGAGGACTAGCGAAGTAAGTCTACATAAGACAAGGCTTATCAGTACTCACGGACTTCGCCGCTCCCCTTTTTCGTCTTCACGGTGACTCCTTCCTCTCTCTCTGTTTGGTCAGAAAAAGCGTAAGCTAAAATGTTCAGACGAGATAAAATCATGAAACACTATCCTATCTCCCTCCCTTTGTTCTGATAATCCACACACCCTATCCACCTCTCAACCCCTTCAAAGCATTCGTCCTTCATTCGTCTCTCTCTCTCTCAATCCCACTGCTCTCATGTTTGTTTCACACTCGTCTCAGCCTCAACTCATCTGTCCTTCCGTTCCCATCGGCGACCATTCCCTCGCTCCCTCGCCTCTTTCTCTTTGCTACCTCGCCCCTCCCCTCGCTCGCCTCCCCTCCTCCCCCTCCTCCCTCCCCTCCCTCCCCTCGCTCGCTCCCCTCCTCCCCTCGCTCCCTCGCCCCTCCCCTCGCTCCCTCCCCTCCTCCCCTCGCTCTCTTCCACCTTGTCTTCACTTCGTCATCTTGGTCTCCCGGCATGCGCCCAAGAAGGTCCCTCATCCCCGCACCCCAGCGGGGGGCACTTGGACACACTGCCACCGCCACTTCAAGGCTTGTGACTGGTGACTCGGACACCCGTGACTGCCCGTTGGATGGGCGGCCCGGCCCGGCCCGGCCCGGCCCGGTGACCGTCGTGGTGCACTGCGGAAGTCCGAGTCACGCGGCCACTGGTTGGACGGCCGGGTGGCCGACCGTACCGGCCGCGTTGGAACTTGGCTGGGCCCGGCGCCGGCGATGGCCGTAGTATCGCGGCGCTCGACTCTCGGATCATCCGAGATAATCACTGACTCGTGAGCCGCTCACAGTTCGGAGGCACGGTGACCATCGGATCCGATCCGAGTCGGATCCGATCGGACAGTCACCGTCACGGTGGCTCAGTGCGGCGCCCGGAACTGTTACTGATGAGGCCGCCGCCGTATAAGATACTACGGTGGCACGGGTTCTGCTGGTTCTCATTTATTATCAAGTTACAGATACTTCATCTTTCGAATAATCTTAAATTGCTCTGGTATCTCCATCAATGCGTGCATGGCGAATACAGCATCAGGGTTTCTCCCAGGAGGAACTCGACTGTCGCAAGAAAAGTCAAAACTTTCCTGTTCAAAGGGATGAGCCACGAGTACCTCATCACTTTTTCAAACGGAACGAACTGAAAGTTGTCAAATTTCCTGCGTCATGGTTGTCGGTTAGTTAGCCCTTTGAAGATCTGTCTCTGCTGTGGATATACCGTGCAGGCAGCTGATCATCAAACTCTTCCATCTACACGCATCAAATTTCCAGTCAGCAAGTGCTATGCGCTCTCACGTAAGCCCTCACCATTTCCCAAGGCCCATCACCAACCCCTACAACAATGATGGACAATGCATAGCTTGAAGCCTCAACGATGGCATTTTCTGTATCCTTGCGATTTGTGACTTGTCCGTCGGCAATGATGACCAGGATGTGGTAAGCATTCTCTTGCTTCACTATGGTGATAGCTTCGCGGATGACGGGGCCTAACAAGCATTAGGCACTCGCTCGCTTCCCTCGTCAATGACCGAAATTCGTCGGGCCTGCCAGGACGATGCCTGGCGTAATCTCATTGTACCGTGAAAGAACCTGTCATGCTTGAGAATAGGAAGAGTAGAAATGCGAGACCTGCCTCCTCGAAGCCTTGGCAGGGGCGTTTGTCGGGAAAGAAGGGAAAGCATTGCTTGTCTGTCGTGAAGTTGTCACCGAAACCGTAGGCAGGAATGAGCTTGTCGTCATCAAAGGCCTCCAGTGTGCGACCAACTACGGAGATAACGCGCTGGTAGGGGTTCAAAGCAGCTGCATCAAGGTGGTGGAGACACCTTCCACCAAAACTCTTTTCGCCTGTCCATGTATTGGACTTGGTAAAGTCAATGCCTGCAAGCCCTTCACTCGAAATATCCTCCTCCTCCTCCTCCTCCTCCTCCTACCCAAGATCAAGTTACTGGATTCCAAACCCACATCTCTCAGCGCTTTCTGCACTTCTTCGATTGAGTTGTAATTGTCAGCGATTGCAAAAAAGCGATCGGGTGGCTGCGTTTTCCTGCTTGTTGATGCTTCTTTGTGCGAAAAACAATTCCCCATCTTCGAGGACCGGCAAGAACAAGTCCCGACAAGACTCTGCCAATCGACTGAGTCAGGCAAGGCTTGAGAAGTCGGACATGGTTCAAAGACAAACTAAAGACTAAACCTCACAAGAGTTGCATGCCATGGATGATAAGCAATCAGTCAAGGAAACAATGATGGGATAATGACAAACAAGAGGACAACATCAAGACACAAGCCCATAGCTGCTCCTTTCTCGCTCCTTGACAAGAGTGTCCCTCATGACAAGAGTGTCCCTCATCTCAGTTGCCCCGAGCACATTCAGGATCAAGGTACACAACTTTTTGAGTTTTCTATGTTGTTATGTTGTTATAGGTGCCTTCTATTTCAATCTAATTTTAATCTGAGGCAGCCTCGTCCTAGTAGCTTGCTCTTACCACTTGCCGGGCCCGCCGGCCAGCTCAGCTGAGAGGAGGCAAGAACGTTACACGGAGTACAGTAGTGTTGGTGTTGACTATAACCGCTCATACGGAATTAGATCGCATGGCTGTCGTGCGGGCTTGTAGTGCGCGTGGCGAGTAGGAGGGAGAGCAAGGAGACAATAAGAAGAGAAGGAGGAGTTTCAGGCAAGAGATTCTTGGGGAGGGAGGGAGGGAGGGAGGGAGGGAGGGAGGGAGGGAGGGAGGGAGGGAGGGAGGGAGGGAGGGAGGGAGGGAGGGAGGGAGGGATGTGAGGGAAAGGGAGGAGAGGGGTTGAAATCAAGGTTAGAAGAAGAATTTGTCAATGCAGCGTGCAATCCAGTGAATGTCCCTTCATTTTGGTTTTCTTGGTTGTTGATCCATACTTCCAAGATGTCGAGGACAACAGACGGATACCTCCGTCTCTCGAACGGGCAACGAGCAGCCTTTGTCGTGCTAGGTTCACCTTGACTTTCACGGAAAGAAATTCATGACGCGAGCAGGTACATTATTTTCGGTTGTGCTAGTAACTCTGCTTGGAGACGACAGGCTAGTTTCATATTTCAGTTTACGTTATATCTTACCAATGCTCCAGTGGATATCGTTCCACAATGTCTGCTCGTGGTGTTCAGACAAAGAGAGTGCTTGAAGGTACTCGCATCATCTTGTTTTGGGTTTAGCAAATTTTCTGAAATATTAGCAGCCTTGCAAAATAGCGTTGAGGCCAAAAGTTTGTTCGGTGAAGCGGCAGGAGCAGGGTGGACAGGTCACACACATTTCGAGCCCAACCCAGGGGCAGACGTCGGGGTTGCGACGAGGTGAGAAAAGGCGGAATGAAAAAAACGATTGACGGGCTGCAGCAACTTTCCTGGTGACTACGTGGGAACCTATGGGGGATACACAACGGACTACACAAATGACTTGGAGAGGCGAATGACGATGCACAGGTAGACAGCCAACTTGTTGTGGACAGAGGTAGCAGTTAAGTCGTTGTCAGGGGCTCAATTGTGGATGCCCAACTCAACCCTGATAGCGCTGATCCCAAGGTGAAGGGATACCTTGACGAAGCCAACAAGAAATTGGTATGAGCAGCACTCCATTCCACATTCAGGATAATCGTTTCACAGGACATGCCGGGAATTCTCAGCTTTCCCTGAGCTTTGAACAACTTCACCTTGAATACCAAATTAATGCATCCGAGCAATGCTAAAATAAGCTAGCTTTTTCCGCGGTGTTGCCTGGTCGGAACAAGGAAGTGTGTAAGTGACTTCATTGTACACGAGACGATCTTAGGAGAATTAAGTTAAAACGAAATTCAGATATCGTCGATGTCGTCATCTTTGTCTGACTCTTCTGATTCCGATTCCCTTTCGTCCTCCTGAATCAAACGTTAGCTTCCCAATGGGACCTCTTATGCAACAAACCTCCTCTCCCCCACTTCCGAATTCAAAGTTGTCCTCTCCTCCCTCTTCGGTCTCGTTGAGCTTTACTGTTTCGGGAAGCTCATTTGCTGCCTTCAGGGCACGAACTTCATCCGGCATGTACTTGTCGATGACATCTGCTTTGTTATCCTGGAGAAAAAATTCAAACGGAGTTAACATGTGCATTGACTTCTGCACCTGAAATCCACGAAGACTGATGAGGACGATGTCTCCGACTGCGATGCGAACTTTGCGACCCATTTTGCCGCAAATGTGGCACATTCGCTTGACACCATCGAAGCAGTACGCCTCCAACCATGGCCCTCCATGCATCTTGAGCACTTGAGCATACTCTACGAATTCAAGTCAGCAGGACGTGATTGGCTGGAAGCAACGAGAGTCAGTCGCACCTTGTCCCTCGTCTGTATTCTTGAAATGAAGTTCACGCTTGCCATCACGATCACTTTTGGCGCGTGATCTGTTCTTTCCTCCTTTTCCTGACAAGACCAAAACATGTCAAAATTGGTTGCATGGAAAATGAAAAATTGATCAGAACTCAATCCAAAATGTTCACTTTTGCGTTGTAATTATTGTTCAAAAACTGAATTCGCCAGAAAACAAACTGCTTAAATGTTCGAGGCTGTCTCAATGATTCAACACACATGCCACCAATGTATCCAGAACAACTGAAACCACATGTATCCTCCAACTTCATCACGAAACTCAACTATTTTAAGGAAGACGTTCATCCCGCAACATACTCATCAATACTGAGGACTGGCACATTCCGTTCTTCTCTTCTCTTCTCTTCTCTTCTCTTCTCTTCTCTCCTCTTCTCTTCTGTCCTCTCCTCTCCTCTCTCTTACCTTTGTTCTTAGGCATGATGACGCGCACGCGAGGGAGATGGTACCACCCACCCGGGTCCTGCCCGGTTTTGATACCCCCACCCCTTGAGCCCCATACCACCCATGTACCCCACTTGTCCCATTGCTTTGCGAGGGATACGTGAGCCCCTAACCCCCCAGCCTGGGCTCAATCGCCGTTGCACCCCACCTTGCACAGAGATTTCAAATGTTAGTGGCAAGTTTGAATTCTATTTCTGGAAATTTATTGTTTACAATTCTTTTATAAAATGACAGTAACTTTTAACTAGTAGAGGTGAGAGATGCGTAGCGGAGGGAGGGAGGGAGGGAGAAGATGAGCATGCATAGTGTTTGTATGCATACACATGCGTACAAGCAGACTGAAAGGCTACATCGTGAAACTCGATTATTCATATAACATGGGCAGATAGAAGACCCACCGTTGCAAACTATACTACAGCGTGTGGAAGTTTATACACCTGTTGTGAAAATATAAAGTCGAAGCTGTGTCCGTTGACATGAGACTTTTGGCGACTCATTTTTTCGGCAGAATGTGATAAGCCTGTTGTTTCACTAGAATTCATTAATGTTCAAATACCAAAGATCACGCAAGCTGGTGAACGCCATCCTGATGAATGCCGCCAAAGTGAAGAAATCTAAACATGTATGCTCTTGAAAGTTCTCAGTTTTCACGTTCTAATTGGCTGTACAAACACACCACAATGTTGGACCAGTCGTGGTACCGACTTCATCTATGCTCACAATCCTATTTCAAAGGGAACACGTGACACCTCATCGACGGGAGAAGAAGAGATGCATTTTTTACCCCGAGTATGCCATAAACACAATGTTGGGTCTCTGACACCATCAGAGCTCGCTTCGTGACCTTCAGATTCATTACCTGAAACCAGGCCAATGTCGGATAAGTTCAAGTAAGTGCATGAAAATCAGTAATCCGATCTCTCTCTCCTTCTCAGCCTTCTTTCGCTACACCATCCTACCTAGGATACGCACTCACATGAGATCAACACTTAAAGAAATGCTTTGTTGGCTCTGCTTGAATTCTCCCTCAAACCTCCATTCCCTTCTAGTCACCGGCCTGTCCTCGTCTTGATGTTGTCTCCCTTCCCTGGACTCCATTTGCTATCTCCCCTGGACTCTCCTCGCCCTTGCTCTGTCTGTCTCTATCTCTGTTTCTATCTCTGTCTCCATCTCTGTCTGTCTGTCTGTCTGCCTGCCTGCCTGCCTGCCTGTCTGTCTGTCTGCCTGCCTGCCTGCCTGCCTGCCTGCCTGCCTGCCTGCCTGCCTGCCTGCCTGCCTGCCTGCCTGCCTGCCTGCCTGCCTGCCTGTCTCCTCTGTCTGTCTGTCTCTCCCTCTGTCTGTCTGTCTGTCTACCCTAGACTCTTCTGAGAGACGACTTGTACCAACAGTGCCGCATAGGCTATAAATGCAATGAGTCATGTTCACACCTCGATCGGTACATCCATTACCATTTGATCCCTGCCTTGAGGTTGCCTCAAACACCATGTTTCTTGGCGTATAACAACACAATGCTAAATTGATCATTTTGTTTGTGCGGGTGTTTCAAGACTGAAAGATTTATTGTCAAATATGAAAGATTCACGATTAAGGAATTACGGATATCTGAGGGAGGAAACATGACAGCATTTATAAACACCTCATTGAAGACGTACTCGAAGCATCGTGATGCAATTAGGCTCGCTTCTCCATTCTTGGTTTCCAGCAGTAGATTCTCTGTGACTTTCGATTCCGATGAGACACATCTTTCTTTGGTTTTGCGATGACACAGATAGAATGCCTAGACAAATTTTCAGGAAGTGCTTTGCGAGCATCATTCTCCATGGGCACCAGAGGTTCTCTGTCTGAATGCTGATTGCGAAAGACAAGTGGCCACCTCAAGCCTGAAGGAGACTTGTTTAGAGCAGACTTAGAACCAGCTGATTTCATCTCCTTGATAGACGAATCTTCGTTTTCAAGCTCGTCGTCAGTGGCTGAGAAATCCTTCATTCCCATTTGTGGGCTAACAACTTCGTCAAAGTAGACAGATTTGAATTCTTCCCTCAACAATTGCAGTACTCTGTTCTTATCTCGCTTGATTTCAAGGTGATTCAAACCAACAGATGAATTCAGAGATGCTGTCATTTTGAAGGGAGAGAAGTTCAGAGGATAGCATCCAGCCCGTGGCTGCCTTCTGTTTCCCGTCTGTGTTGAATTCGAATGTTCGATTTGATATGTTCTCATGTTCGCTTCTCTTCTTTCTCTTTCTAGAACCTCTATAGGTATGAGCTCTGCATGGTCGCCGGTCATCGTGATACCACAGCCTTGGATGTGTAAGGGTATTGGGGCCTCGTGCGAGCGCCTCTTCTGCAAGCAATTTGAAGTAGAGCTGCTGTACAGTTCGATGAAAGCAGCAGCCTAAACAGTGTTGATTAGACGGCAGCTGCTGGAGCAAGACGAAGTAGCTGACTTGACACGTCTGAAGCAAGGCAGAAGAATGGAGGAGGAGGAAGTCAGAGCAGAGGAGAGGGAGGGGGCAGGTGCTGACGGAGAGCAGAGCTGGCGGCAAGGGAGGAGCAGCAGACAGTTGAGGAGGGCGAGGAGTCTTCTTTTTTTTTCAGTTGACCCATCTACCCCCTCTTCCCCACGACCCCGAAGGGGGTAGGGTCGTGTGCATCTTGAAATGTTGCACAGTTATGATGGGGTAGGGGTAGTCTCAACTTTATACAAAGTTTAGTTAATTCACCCCTCTAATGCCACCCCTACTTCCATTTCCCTGCTGCCAGATGAGCCCTCAAAACATGCCATCCCCACTCGCTCTCCTCCTCCTCCTCCCCTCGCCTTGTCCTCAGGCAACGGGGCCCTTCTCCTCCTCTTGCAACATTTCCCCTCCTCTCATCTATCTTCGCCCCCACCCCTTCCTCTTTCCTGGCATGCTCGCAGTTGCAATCAGACGGGATCACTTCCTATGACAACACTGGATCGAGAGACACTTGTATGAAGTTATCCTAACATTTTCTCACCCTTCATCAATCAACCTTGCAAATTAGCACACCGACACAAATCCCATCCCCTCTTCCCCCCTTCCCCCTGACTTTCTCCCTCCCCTGCACTTCCTTCTGCTTGCACTTCCACAAGCTTCCATGGATTAGAAGGCTGCAATATTCATCTACCCTATTTCTCCTGGCTCTTCTCCTGCCCCCATTACCTCGAGTATTTCTGTGACAGCTCAGTTGCTGACCTATGAGAAGAGCACACGCAGTTTGTACTTCGTTCTCTCCTGTGTATCCTTACTAGTAGATTCAATCTGCGATTGCGTTGCCGCTCCAAGGCTTGTCTTGCAAGAGGAGGCTTGTGAACTGACATGAACTTCGCAAGGTACTCTGCTGCTGCTAACTTAGCAACAGGTCGAGGGATTTGGTGAGGTTGAGTCACTTGTCAATTGAATCAAGGATTCATTTTGATCTCTCAGTCCTTCAAGAGTCTTCCATGCTGACACAGAACATCAGTTGTCCGATTGTGTTGTAATTTCCGCAATCTGGGCCCTTCAAGGCTTCGGTTGAATGATTCATTGGCAACCGTAACGACGGTGCTCCGATGATCTGCTGGCCTGGTGCCGCCGCATGCCATGCTTGAATGCCCGCCGCCGCTCAGATCAGCCAAGTTTCGCCGCACTGGCGAGTTTCGACAGGCCCTTGAAACGAGTCACTGAGTCGGAGCCGAAGACCCCGGGTGGAGAGTCACGCGGAGTCAGGCTTGATCTTCGGGAGTCAGCGCATCCTACTAGGCTAGTAGATTCGTGACTGGGTACCGTAGTGTCACTACTGATGACTAGTCGGACGGTGTGACCGTCCGTCCGGTGCCTTGCCAAGTTGACTGACTCTGAGTACCGCACTGCACGCCCGGTGACTGGCAGTCACTGACTCAGTGAGTGGCACCGTAGCCTACTCAGTGGGCCGGGACCCCGCGGGTACTACCGTCCCGTACTAATCGGCGGATCATGGGATGCCGGGCGCCGCGGCGCCGCCGGCCGGGGCCCGGGGCGGCCGGCCCGCGGCTCAGTGGTTGACAGTGACCAGTGAAACGAGGCTTCAAGGCTTCCGGCGAGAGGAGCGCGCCTCGTGGCGGCACCGGGCCACCCAACTAGCTGAGCGAAGAGTAGTACAATGGCGGGAAGGAATGTGAAGGCAAAAGGTCAAGGACGTGAGAAGATGCTGGAAGAACTGCGAGAGAAGTGCAGGAGGAGACTGAAAGACGAGAGAAAGAACCTTGTTGACACGCTCAGAGGATTGGCACAAGGCAAGAATGTGCTGGACATGCACCAGGAACAGCTAGAGGCTGTCAGGGATTTTACGAGAAATCTAATCGAAAGAGTGAAAATGGACGAGGGTGAGTACCAGGCAGGTCAAGAAGACTGCATGTTTTGCTTGACATTTCCTCACACTCAGGCATAAATGATCAAGAAGTTGGAGCCTTCAAGTCTACAGCGGAAGCCTATCCTTCGCTTTATGATACCATTTCAACTTCACCAGATGCAACTGTGGAAGAAGGCGATGAAGAAATGCTTACATTCGAAGAGTACATTGACATGATGACTAAGTTGGAAGAAGAGATGATTCTCGATATTCTCGAGACTGGTATGCGATCATTAGCAAGATTGAGGTTTAACGAGTTTGCAGAACACAGACAAGCACTCGAATATCTTGGCTATGAGGAAGATGAAGCGTATGATTCCCTTGAAAGTCGTGGTGACGCGGTGAATTCCATACATGTGTTGATGTTTTGTGGTGATTTTACAATTGACAGGTTGTATGCCCTATCTGCCTCCGCTCAAACATTGAACTATTGTCGAACACATTTTTTTGTGCTTGTGGTATGTTTTGCTCTCTGGTTTAATTGCTTTGTTTTGACATCTTTCATGCTTGTTCATTGGAAGGTATGAGATTATCTTCCGAAATGGGACAAATATCCTTGGAAGAGCTGAAAGAGAGCATATCCGAGAGCTACGATGAACATAAAGCAATTTGTGAGCAGAAGCCTTCTTTTTCGATTCAGTCATGTGGAGGTCAAGATATGCTTGTATGATGACGTGAATCAGCGGTTTGAATCTCTAATGATACAACAGGTACTTCAATGCCAGCTTTGTGAATTCATGAAGATCGTGGTGTAATGTCGCTGGATTTCTCGTATCTACAACTCAAACATCAACGAAAGTTGTGACCTCGCAGGGAGAACGTTGCACGAGTGGATGCCATGGGAAACAATAGTTGTAAAGGTTCATTTATTTCCAACTTCAATCATTCTTTCCCGACGACATTATCTGCCAATTGCACTTTGTCGCACACGAAAACCTTCAGGAGTCAGCAAATAATCACTCACAATTGCAGTCTAAACGACATGACAGTATGTGATAACTTTGCCAAAACAAAAAGGAATTTGGAATAAGAATTGTAAACCTTTAGTGGTATCACTCTTAAAAACTGATGCGCGGTCAAATTGACTTCAGAAAGATCAGCCCAAGCCATTCCGAGATCGCAGAGATCACTTGTTGATTGATAAGTACAGATCAATTTTTCACACGACTCTATCTATGTGTATTGTATGTTTGAATTTGTCTATCCCAGTGATCATGCATGGGCTTTATATAGACCAGTGATCATGCATGGGCTTTACATTCAAACAAACAACATTAGTTTTCGCTAATTGTACAACATTTGAACATTAGTTTTCGCTCATTGCACAGTAGTGGGTGAGGTAGGGGTCGCGGTATCGATCTTTCATATTGCTACTGTTTGGCTATGCGTGTTGTAAAGTACATTCGTATTTGCATAAATGAAAATACAGAAATCATGACAATACGACAGCAATGAGATCTTTTTAATTATGGCCGGGTATGGATAAGTATTGTATTCTTTGCCAACCTGTCGACACCAATGAGATTGTTTCATTTATAGATATGGATATAAGTGTTGTAGTCTTCGCAACCTGGAACGATACAAACTGTCATGCAACAAGTCCAAGTTTGCAGTGACACTGTATGTGGCAACGGGACTGCAGTATCCTTCTTACTGTAGTTATCAGCGCAGTATACATACCTGCCTTAGAACAGTTGTTGCATGTGAGCATATCCATATTAGCACCATCATAGCATTGGATGTACAATACTAGAGAAGTTGAGCATCGATGCTAGGCGCTATCTTTGGAGCTTGTTTTTCAGGCGTTGTGTTGTAGGCCAACATTGTTTATATCAGCTTCAATAGATAACAGGATCTTCGTCGCAGCGCTTTAAATAGTTCATCATTGTCTCAACAGATTCGGCAATCCTTAGATGCTTGTTTATTATGTTCGACAACAATATATCCAACATGATGGAATCCTACTTTGTTAATTCTTATCACTCAAGTCTGCAAGATGCCTGAGCCGGATTCATTGGATTATGGATAGCATGCTCGAATCATACATAATACATAAGTTGATCTATAGACAGTCACAGCAGGAGAAGTCCACATGATGATACTATTGTGTCTACAATTCAAATGATGATTGGGCTAAGGTATGCCTGTTGTTGAGTATTGGACATTAGGAAGGACCAGGGGTTGTGGTCGCATATCCCGAATGACACTGGCTTATCATGACATGTATGCTTCCTCTTTGGCAGCATATGAGTCTGTTTGACACCTCTCTTCTTTGCTTCATTCCCTGCCTTCGCGTCCATGTTGCCGGCACACCCCCATGTCCCTTCTCCTTGACAGTTGACCCCAGCATTAGAAGTATCTGTTGCATTTCCATGAGCATAGATGCCCATACTTGAGTCATAGGCCGACATATTGCTTTCTTCAAAGTAGATAGACTTGAACTCTTGCCTCGTCCTCTCGCGTATCAATTGAACATCCTCCTTGATTTCATGTTGATCTAGGCAAGTAAAATGAACCTTTGCCCCCGTCATTTTATAGGGAGAGAAGTTAGCTGGATACTGTCCAGCCTTCGGCTGCTTACGGTTTACCTTGCCTCGACTGGTTTGCAACACACCTCTATGAGATCTCTTGCTTTTCTTTGATCGTATCGTTGAACACCGAGGCCAACCAGGTTTAGGAGCTGCACTTCGGTCATGAGCTCGAGCTTTGCACATCGTGCTGGGAGTGCGACGACTCTGACGCAGTCGTCACCCTTACGTTGTAGTTAAACAACCAAGAGCATTGAGCTCACGCTCCGTCTTCCTGCCTTTGTCCTCCTGCCGCCATCGCTTGAACCGCTTGATCGCCCTCCGTTGATTCGCCGGCGAAGTGTATGAAGGAGAATTCGGGGGTGGGGGTGGAGTTGAGGAAGAAATCGTCTTCTGCCAGGGGTGGTACGACTGTGTTTGCAGGGTACACGAGAGGATATGGACGGGTGGTCGTTGTTAAGTAACATCCAAGGGGGTGGGGTTATAGTTCATGATGGGTACGGTCCGTTGGTCAGTGAGGGGAAGAGGGTACATTGATTTGAAAGTGTTTGGGGTGCTTAGGTGGTGTATGATCGTAGGATGTCCGTAGCTTCATAGGCGTGGGGGGTATACGTCCTATCCAGGTGGGTGGGGGTGGGAGATTCAATAAAGGGGGTGGGTGGGGTAAAGCAGCAAGCAGTGACAGCATGATGTGTCAATCTGAACTCAATCGATTGAAATCAACGATTCAGTTCGATTTATTCATTTTTTATCTTTTTTTTGGTTCTAAAACCCTTTTAAGAGCAGATACAGCTTTACCGACTAGAAGTAATTTTAAGTCTAAAAGTGTTGTAAAAGGCGGGAGGTGAATCGGAGGGACGAGCGGGGATGAGGGGCAAGCATCACGCGGCGCGAAAGGTCAAGGAGGTGACATAAGGCTAAACATGGGGGGTACCATGTGTGTGCTAGACCATACCCCTAGCCACCCCTACTACCCCCTTACCTGTCACCCTCCACCTGGCCCTTGCTCTTCAACAAACGGTAGGCCGGTAGACCCGTTAGATACCTGAGGGGGTAGTGGAATCATTCGTGAGGTCCTGGGGGTGGGTGGAGGGCAGAAGGGGTGCATGATGTTTTAAAGATGACGAACTCTAGTGGTGGCTTACAAGGGGGACTCCGAGGTACGGGTCACCGGAGGCGAGAAACGAGCAAAACAAAGTTCATGGGGTAGGGTACCCATTTGTCCGGGCAGTTGCAGAGAAGGTAGGGGGTACAGAGAGTGAAGGGGACATGATTCGAGGGTGGGGTGGTGCGGCGGCTTCTCCTCTTGTGCTGCAGCGGGGTCAAGCAGCTGCCTCGACTTGTCCGGCCGAGGCTCCTCAGCTTTCAGCCCTCTCCTCCTCACTCCCTCGACGACCTCCCTGCCATCGAACGCCAGACAAGTACATCCTTCTTCTGGTTTCTCTGCCGTCACCTGGCTGGGTTGTCCAACTCTTGAGACCCTGAACGGTTTAAGGTAACACAAGGAGAAATACGACATTTGATCGCCCAACTTTTGTAACACAACGAGATCTACATATCAGACGATGTGCGACAACATCCAACCTGTCGCCCTAGATGAGCTAGAACAGGAGCTGTTAATTGGAGAGAGCGAAAAACACCAAAGCAGTTGTAACGGCCAGAAGCCAAGACGGATCGCCCCTCGCAAGAGATTGCCCAAGCCCGGAAGCTACCCAGATGACTTCTCGCCCTTCAGGATGACATCCGGTGACGGCATGGTCGTCAGCCTCTCTTACCTAGAGATCAAACGCGACCTGCAGACCATCAACGAGCAGTGTCGCGACATGTTCCAGTCCGTCTACTACGCTGAGGTGGGTTGCGAGGACATGGAGCAGAGCAGCAAGGGCTCGAAGCCCTGTGCGCTATCGCCAGTGCGAGTACAATCAATCATCGCTGCAAGAAGAAGCAGAGGGCCGTGCATGAAGCAGCCGACCTCTAGAGCGGAGGAGACACGGATGATCATGGCAGCGGTCAGGGCTTCGTTGCAGGAGATCAGAAGCAGGCAGCAGGAGGACAATATAAGTGATGAAGAGAAGAGTGCTATCATGCGTATGAGGGCGAGCAAGCGACCGAAAGTAGAAGACAAATTCCCCGGCAACAAAGTTGCTAGTCAATGGATGGATACTTGTAGCTCGATCGTGATTTAATCTTTGTGAGTGTGAGTCTACTCTATGGTTAGTTTGTAGATCGTTAAAGCAGGAAGATGGTTTGTGGAAATGAATTTTGACTGCCATTACAACCCCACACCGCTACACTGAGAGTCAAAGACAGAAGTAGGCACGAGTCTGGAGTGAGCACGGCCAACTATTCGCACCTGCATTCCTGACATCATCGCCACGGTGTTCCGCAATCACGGGAACAGCGAATCAGAGCTCGTCGCTACTTTGACAACAGACCACGTGAGTACAAGCCTATTATCAAGTATGATTGTGTTGAACGCGACGAGATCGGGTTTCACATGCATGGTTCGTTGAATGCATTTGCTACGTTTCACATCAGTTGTGTTTTTCATTCAGAATTTTTTTTGATTTGTCCACACTTATGAGTTGCAAAGTCATCATCGTGTTTGGACGCTGCCTTAGCATATAATTTAGAAGGTTTCTTTCTGCATACGGGCATGCAGTATCAGCGAATGTGAATGGTGCTGTATACATATACATACAACAAGCTTGTCGGGAAGTTGTGGTTGTGCATAACAATGATGTTGTACATCAACACGTTGAGCATGTTTTCATAGCATCTGGGCGTTTTAAGGACATGAAATTAAAGATTCACTTGCAAATAAGTCGGAAATGCAAAATTTTGAGGCATCAATTGGCTTTGAAGGAATCATTTGCACTTCCACATCTCTCTTATGACATCCTGCTCTCCTCTACTTATTATACTCTGCTTTTCCCTATACCCTCTCCTGTCTCGTTACAATCTTGCTCTACTCACTCCATTCGCTCCTAAGTGCCCTAGTGCCTCGGTGCACGATTATATGCACTACGTTATTCCCTGAGCACTATTACACGGCTCTAAGCGACACCCTCTGCTCTACTGCACTTGTTGAAAGCTACCTACTGTACTGTACTTTGCTCTACACTAGTGTAACAAGCACCTCTGCTCTCATCTACTCTACTCCACACCCTGTGCTCGGCTGTGTGTAACTCCACTCTACTCTATTAGATTGCCTCTGCTCTGCTCTGCTCTGCTCTACACCCTCTGCTCTGCTGTACTACACTGTACCGCTCTACTCGTACACGCTCTGTGTTACTGTACTACACTTGTCTGAACTCCTACACCCTCTGCTTGGTGCACTTGAAACCTTATTTACTCTGCTATACACCCACTGCTCTTCTGTACCACATCGGCCCGTAAAGACCCGCATGTGCCCTGCTCTATCCCTTCTGTGTGGCACTATCTTGGTTCTCCTCTACACGCTCTCGTGCTCAAATCTTCTGCTCTACACCCTCTGCTCTGCTCCACTGCTCCCTTAGCTCCCTCAGCTCCCTAAGCTCCACTGCTCTGATCTGGTGCACATGTTTTAAAAACATGTTTTAGGACGGCTTCGCCTCGTCACGTTACCTCAAATAAAAGTCACGTCCCCTCCGCGCGCCCTCCCCCAGCCTCCGTCTCCCAATGGACAGATGCGGGGAAAGCTGGACGCGAATGTCTGTAACGCTCATTCATGGCACAATGGAACTAAAAGCATTCTATGACGTGTGATTGGTTGTGTTTCCAACACCAACATGCCTTCATGTTCCTGGTGTTGGCATATTCATTGCGTCTGCTCTTTTGCCTCTAACTTGTGGTGCCTCATTCGAATCTTTTTCGCAGACTTTCATTGCAGAGAGGGAGAACATGGTCTTCACTCGAGAACAATGTCTTCACACTCTTAGTAACACAGATCGACGTACTTACGATGACTTTGTCTATTACTTTATTGATCGGTTTTCATTTTTGCAAGCTTCTTGAAAGTACATGGGGGAGGCAATTCTGAGAATGTTTGTTTGTAGGTTTGGATCAGCTCGACACTACAGGTGTGTAGTCCCCAGAGGACAATGAACATCGTTGGGTATGATGTAAGTCGTTCTGAATAATTCAGTTTTCACTGAATTCTATGAAGCATCTGAGACACAACTTGACCAAAATTATGGGATGAAAGATTGTCTGCCACAACCCGAACTTATCGAAGCTTTACGGGTTGCAGATGTCTACAGCGAATGCTCAAGGCGCCTCCGCTGGATCAACACAAAGGTGAAGAGTAGAGATGTAAAGTTTATTTGACAACACAAATACACTGTCGATTCATGGCACATACACAGCAAAGGAAAGGACAGACCACCTTAGCAGTTGTTGACGATCCTTTCATAGTCGAGAAGAACCACCAGGGGTGGTGAGGCTCACGCACGAGCGAGCATCCCTCGTGCGTCCGCTTAGATCTGCTGCCTGCTCCTCCTCGAGGTTCAGCCAATCGTACCAGTATGTACACAGTACAGGAGGTACCACCCGTACTGGTCACACTCTGTCGCCCAACAGGGGTTGTATTGCAGAGGTCCAGTAGCCGTGAGAGCCCTTGGTGTCCTCACCTCGTGGCTGTACGAGAAGACCATAGCTCTGTTGCTGCTCACTCCTGCTCAATAAAATTCCTTCCTGCGGAGGTTTGAGCTCGCCTTCGCAGAGCTCTGATATTGTCATGTCTGTAAGGGCTAGTGTAAAGTACATATGATACTTCCCAAGGATAGCATGATTGTTTGCAATAAGTAGCAAGAGCTAGAGCTTGTGTGAAATTGTTAGCAGTGGGGCATAATCTAAGGTTTTTACTTGAGAGCTGCAGACGTATACAGCAAATGCTAAAAGCGCCTCCACTGAATCGAACAGGAAGGATGCAGCGAGTAAACTGTGAGGCCGATGTAAATGATGTCTCTCGTTTCCCACATCTCCGTCTTTACGGTGTGATTTTTCCGCTTTCCTTGACATCCCCGCCAACCCCAACCCCAACAAACACGAGGCCCCTTCTTCGAACCCGATGGTATCCGCGTGGATCTCTCGCTATAGAGCATCGACCAGTAATTTTCTGTTCCATGCTTTAGTGGAGCACACAGCTATCACATCACAGTACACGTCCTGCTCCTCAATTCCTTCGACATAGGCGGTCGTGACCTAGAGGAGGAGGCAGCAGCTGCCTCATGGGCCTGACGAGCTCAAGCCTGCATCCGTCAGCCTCACCCTGCGACCAGGGCTGGAGGCGCAAGTCACAACATGACGGCGGCGAGGGAAGAGTCAAGCATCAGATCGGTCACAATGGCTCTCGGGATGGAGGGACAGAAAATTTGTTTGTATCAACGAAGAGCCAAATATTTTGCTGTCTTTTGATATTTCGATGGTTCTGAGGCATGCTCATCATTTTTGAACCGATAGAGGCAAAAGTGAATGTGGGTGGGTGGTCGGGTAGTTGCGGGTAGGGCTCGAGAGGGTGGGTGGGGAGGGAGATTCTGGTGAACTTTGACAGACAAGGGGTAGGTAGGGGTAAGTTGTGGAGGGGTGCATCAAACTTTATGTTCCTTGAATTCGTGGGGTGGGGTAGATGTGGAAGATTCTCGAGGATACATCAGATGGGGTAGAACTAGCAATCTTTGCTTGAGTAGGGTGGGTGTCATCCCGTCTGGATGGAGTGGGTAGGGGTCATGCTGTCCCTAGTGGGGGTGGGGGTAGGGTAGATCGATCCGAGCACCAAAAAAACTTCTCCTCTCTTCCTCTTCCTCCCTCTCTTCCTCTCCCCCGCTCCCCCGGTCCGTCTGACCTTGTCCGCCCCTTGAGATTTACCTCCTCCCTTTCAGTTCTTATCGTCACCCTCTCCTTGCTTTCATGACAAACCTGCTCTGTTGATCTCTACCTGTTTCATAAACTGATCGCAGAGCATCCTCTACCAAACTGCTGGAAAGGGTCTCAGGCCCCAGCGATTCATCGTGTTCAATCAGCAGCTAAAAGCAAGCCTATTGCACAGAAGACGAACTCGTGAACACAAGCTTCTACCTTCCTCTGTTTATAGAGCTCGTCAGCCCTGTTCTAAACTTCAAGGAAAACAAGGAGCCAAACAAACTTTGGGGTGTGCAACTCAACCGTGTTCATGACTTACATGGATATCAACATGGACATTGACATGCATTTGAGAAAAAGCGAAGTCAACATGCCACAGCAACCTGTCGTCATTGATGTCAAAAGTAGCCAGATCGAAAACGCCTCGTATAAACCCGCCGTTGCAGCAGACATTGGCGACAGGGCGATTCAACTGAGCAATGCAGAGTTGGCTAAGGAAACATCGCAATTGGAACCGAACGAAGCAAGCAAGAGGCCCAGACGGATCGCCCCTCGCAAGAGATTGCCCAAGCCCGGAAGCTACCCAGATGACTTCTCGCCCTTCAGGATGACATCCGGTGACGGCATGGTCGTCAGCCTCTCTTACCTAGAGATCAAACGCGACCTGCAGACCATCAACGAGCAGTGTCGCGACATGTTCCAGTCCGTCTACTACGCTGAGGTGGGTTGCGAGGACATGGAGCAGAGCAGCAAGGGCTCGAAGCCCTGTGCGCTATCGCCAGTGCGAGTACAATCAATCATCGCTGCAAGAAGAAGCAGAGGGCCGTGCATGAAGCAGCCGACCTCTAGAGCGGAGGAGACACGGATGATCATGGCAGCGGTCAGGGCTTCGTTGCAGGAGATCAGAAGCAGGCAGCAGGAGGACAATATAAGTGATGAAGAGAAGAGTGCTATCATGCATATGAGGGCGAGCAAGCGACCGAAAGTAGAAGACAAATTCCCCGGCAACAAAGTTGCTAGTCAATGGATGGATACTTGCAGCTCGATCGTGATTTAATCTTTGTGAGTGTGAGTCTACTCTATGGTTAGTTTGTAGATCGTTAAAGCAGGAAGATGGTTTGTGGAAATGAATTTTGACTGCCATTACAACCCCACACCGCTACACTGAGAGTCAAAGACAGAAGTAGGCACGAGTCTGGAGTGAGCACGGCCAACTATTCGCACCTGCATTCCTGACATCATCGCCACGGTGTTGCACAATCACGGGAACAGCGAATCAGAGCTCGTCGCTACTTTGACAACAGACCACGTCAAAGGTCTCCATCAGGATGGTAGCAGCGGATAGCAGCGCTGCTACACATAACCTTCAGGAATGAGAGAGTACCAGAGCTCAACAAGACAACAAGGAGACCCTTTCCTTGTGACATATTCCTCCACCCAACTCCCTACTGTACTTCCTTTCATCTCATTTGTTATTACTGTACTTTCTTTTCCCAGTGCTCTTGTCCTGCAATGCGTACACTCACATTCTCCTGCATATCCTCGTACCTCATTAGCAACAGATAACAGTGTCGAACAAGTAAGCAACAACGTTTCCACGTGATATTAATGTAAACGCAAGACAATAATCTTTCAAAGATGAGATGGATTGTAATACTTCCCTACACAATCATGTTTCAGGTCAATAACGATGATATTCTGCATTATGGCCTATTGATTTGTTTCAGAGTATCGCTGTTCACTCAAAACGCCTCCCAAGCGATATTTGCCATCATCGACATTCAGACAAGGAGAGTACATAGTATGTCAGCATGAGACAGACTACCAACATGCCGGATGATGGTGCGATGAAGATGAATAAGAAACGAAAGTTTATCCCCAAAAATCTCACATATGCATTTTATTTATATCCACATGGCTGGGGTTTCGTCGCTTGCAAGCCACGCGAGATCTCACTTGTTCCATTTGATCTGTTCGTATGTCACAGAACTTTATGGAGTGAAAAAACAAAAGAGGGGCGGAGTTGAGGAGGAGGAAACGGAGGAGGGGGTGGTGGTGGGAAAGAAGCGAGGAGGGGGAGGAGGAGAAAGGAAGGAGGAGAATGAGGAGGAGGGGGAGGGGGGCGGGAAGAGGAGGAGGAAGAGGGCACCGGTGGAGTGATCATCTCGATCCCCTCGAGTCCCTTCGTCTTAGTCTTCTCATTGACCTGCTCGTCCCACGTTACCCCAGAGATTCTCGTCTCCTCCTCCCACCTGCTGCATCGGAGATTTCCCGTTGTTGAGCGACACTCCAACCAAGTTCGGACCAGAAACGCAGCTGGAGAGCAGTGAGGAGGACGGAGACCGCGAGCATGCAGACCTCGGGTCTACCCACTGGTCTCTCGGGTAGTCGTACGTGTTGGGGTGACAGAGAATCTGATAACAAGTGGCGCTCGACTGCCAACGCGTGTGAGAGACTGTTGGGTCAGCAGGAGGGAGAGGCGGGGGGACCTGCCCAGCTGCAATGACAGACCAGGCCAAGAAGAACTCCTGCGACCACATGAGCCTACCACAAGAAGATTGAGATGACATGGCACCTGAAGGCGGAAGAGATGCTTGCCCTTGGTGTGCTCGGAGATGGCATCGATCTTGCCCAGCAGGATGTCCGTCTTATGCGACATCCAGTTGTCGTACCACTGTACCCATCATATCAGAATCAAGTTCCACACTCAGCCCCTGCTCTCTTTCCTTCCCGCACAGCTTCATCCCCCTCCTCCAAACAATCTAGTACAATTCCCGTCCCTCACGAGTCTCTTTGCCATCTACCTTGTGGAGGGTGTGCGAGTAGTGACGGCCGATGGTCTCAACAGAGTGCACCTGCTCTTCGTCACTCGCCACACTTTCCTCTTCTTCTCACCTCAAATCCTGCAAGCTCACACTGCTTGACGTACCTGCAGTGCAAGATTTATTTCAGTCGCTAAATTGTCAGAAATGCAGGAGTCGACCAGTTGAGAGGAGTGGAGGCGTCAGCACCAGGGAAGATGTACTTGCTCATGAAAAGACCCCATGCGACATCCTGTATGTGCCGTCCCCTTCAGCTCAAGGACAGTCCAACACTCCTCCTCGACCATCCCCAAGTACGTCCCTCTCCTCTTTCCCTCTCACCTCCCAGCTTGGGCCTTGACGAAGACCGGAGACCTGCGCAGCCGGTCACATGCAATGAGCAGAAGCAGATGATTCACCTGCAGGAGAAACTTGGAGTCCTGAACGAGATACACGGTCAGAGCAGTGAGAGAAGACGAAAGTCGTACTTGCCTTCTTAGCCAGCATCTTTCTGACAGATACCAAAAATGGATCGACGAAGTTGGCAATGCCAACGTGTTCCGCCATCTCAATAGAGGCGATCTTGTCAAACTTCTGTCCTCCCGGAATCTCGCGATAGTCGCAACAGTGAATCTCCGTCGGAACTCCTTCGAAACATGTCACATATTAAAGCGTCGCTTGGCAACGAGTACCAGTCTCCTTGCTCGCATAGTCGCAGTACTTCTTCCCTTCCGACGACAGAGTCACGCCTGTTGCCTTCGCCCCGTAATGCTTCACGGCATGGCGGCACAGAGTTCCCCATCCGCATCCGATGTCCAGCAGCGTCTCGCCCTTCTGCAGCATCAGCTTGTCGCAGATCATGTTGAGCTTGTTGAACTGTGCTTCCTCCAGCGTCCCATCCGCTGCTGACTTGGCATAGTCGCCATTGTATCCGTCCGAGGCGAAGGAGGGCACCTTGTGGAACACTCCACACGTGTACACCATGGCGCGACCCAGCATGGAGGAGAAGACGTCGTTGCCCTTGTTGTAATGCTCGTCGATCTCCTTGTGCGTCTCCTTCACAGACTTGCCGCTTGACGATCCTCGTCCCAGTCCACTCCCTGTCATCCACCATGGCAGGAACTGCGAGATGAGCCACCAGATCTGTCGCCAAGTGACTTTGTAGTTAGCGAACTCGTGGCGATGGTACTGCAAGATCTTGTAGCAATCCCCTCCCTCGCAGCTTTCGTTCCAGTCGAACAACCCTTCGATGTACATCTCATACAGCTCACACATGGGAATCTTCCTGTGCTTGTAGTAGTTGGCCAGGCTCTCCTTCTTGAAAGTCAGGAACTTGGACGTGTCCACTCCCTTCTCTGTGCCCACCCCGTGGTATACAACATCCCACAAGAAGCGGGTAATCACATAGGGGCCCAGCACACCAGCCAGGAGCATTGCCGTCTTGTTCAGCTCCTCTCCTTGCAAAATGCTCGTCGAGAAGTTTGACGCCGCCGCATAATTGAAGAGCTGCACCGCCTTGTACGCGGTGACTCCTATCATTGTGCCGGCGTACGGGATGATTCCCATGAGCATCATGGGTGGGTCCGTCCAACGAGTGGACATGGCGATGCCTATCCTGAGCTTCTCCATGATGGAGCCTGAACACAACATGAGCGAACCGCGAGCATTCAAAAACTTCCTCCGAGCTCATTTCAAGTCTTGTTGCGTCACCCTAGCCTGATCCCTACCCTTCTACCTGCAGTCGGCCAAACTGAACAGAAATCTTTGACTGTGATAAGCAGATTAGGAAATTTTCCTTGAGCATGGTTTTCCTCTCAATAGATTTCCAACCCACACCATAGGATCTTGCCTCAGAACGCATCTACCTACTTACCTCACTTCAACCTGCTCGCTTCTCCTAATTTCTTCTCCGAACCCATCCAATCCAACGCTCTGTTCTGCTGCCTCGGCATTGCCCTCACCTCACCTCTTCTTTCACCTCTCCTCTCCCTCCCTCCCTCCCTTCCTCCCTCCCTCCCTCCCTCCCTCCCTCCCCCTCGCTCCCCTCCTCCTCTCCTTCTCTTCTCTCCCCTCGTCAGTCGTCACGAGATCAATCCAGTAGGGGAACTTTAGCGACGAGGAAGAACAACCCCCTCACCCCACCCCTCAACGCCCCACAGCAACCCCACCTTGTTCAAAACAGTACCCCACCCCTCTTCATACTACCCCTCCTCTCTACTTCTGAACAGCTGCACTATAAAAAAGTTACTCGGTACCCCTAGGTAGTCACCCTACTAACCCAACAGGCCCTCGTCCATATGTACCCCCCACCCCCCTTCTCCATCAGCGAAACCACGTGGATTTGAAAAAGACCCACCCCCCATTTATGTTCCCTTCCACCCCTATCCACATCTGATCATTCCCCCACTGAAACTTACACCCCCGAAAGCAAAGATAAGCTCTCTACCCCATTTTTGGCAGAGAAAAGTACCCCTAGCATTGTAATACAACCCCATCAAATCAAGGCCTGTTCATTACTGCCCCTACTACCCCACCCACCCATGTTCCCCACGCACAACGCTAAACCACCACCTCATCTCTTCACCACCCCACCACCCCCCTCTATTCCCCCAGCCCTGTATGCCTCATCCGGTTGCATCTCTATCAACAGAGTGACGGGGGTACCTCAGTCGTGCTGTGGTTCGCGATTCGAAAGAGTAGGGTGGGTTGATAATGGGTGGGTGGGTCCCTCCACCTTCATTCCCGTGGGGTCAATGAAATACAGAGTGACTATTTTCTGGGGTGGGGTAGAGTTCTAGTCCGGGTGGGGTGGATGATTTCCAAGGGTAGGGTAGTAACATATAAGAGAATTGCAAGGCCATGGATGTGACCACCAAGGATGGGACCATCCCCTCGAGAGCATGCAGAGAGTGCCGGTCAAGAAGTAGCTAGGTTGCAGAAGACTTAGGAGAGAAAGTGAGGAGAAGAGGAGAAGGAGCATGAGAGAAGATAAAGCTTGAGAAGATGGTTCCTCATACACTTCTCTTCCGTGACTTCAGACTTGTTGATTGAGGCCATCTGAGGTATTCGGAGCCATACAAGCGTGCAGTTGAGAAAATGTTGTTTCATCGAGAGTTGTAGTAGGGTGTGACGAGCCGCCAAGACGCTAGAAATACGTGGCTGGGCTTAAACTTTGCCGAGAAAGACGCAAAGACATTCGAAATGCAAGAGCAGCAGCTCAAACAACCACTTGTTGAAGTGCAATTACCTTCCAAGGGACATGCTCAACACTGCAAAATGTGTGCAACAATCTCTGGTGCTACAGCAGGAGCCGTTGGAGTGCTGGTGGGTCAGCCGTTCGATACTCTTAAAGTCAGGCTGCAAGTTTCAGGAGCTAAGAGCGTGGCGAGCACAGAGACGAGGAGCTTCGTAAAGACATTGGCAATGTACTACAGGGGCTCAGGCCCCCCAGTCATCTCCTCTGGCTTGGTGTCCTCGTTGAACTTCACAGGATTCGAGGCGATCAAACGCTTGTTTCATCGTGAGGACATGCATAGAGCACCTCTCTTTGTCCATTGGGTTTCGGGCTTTGGAGGTGCGATCCCGGTTACTGTCATCACGTGTCCATCGCAGAACATCAAAATCCTTCAGCAAGCAGGCGAAGAAAGGTTGGGGATGATTGAATGCTTGCGCAAGATCTTCAAGACATCCGGCTTGCGAGGGCTCTATAGGGGATACTGCATCCACTCTATTCTAGAAACTTTTGGTAAGTGCAGCCTTCCTAAAAGACCCGATGGCGTTGTTGACTTGTATGCAGGTCGGGGTTGGTACATGGTGACTTATGAAACTGTGAAGCGCAGGCTTGATGATACCCCTGAGGTTGACGACTCTCTCGTCCTTCAACCCTAACCATCCTCGTCATGAACCCCCTAAACTCTTTCCATCAGGTCCTTGGAGGTCAAATTTCCCTCCACAGACGAATGTTGGCGGGAGCATGTGCAGGCATGGCTGGTTGGAGCTCAATCTATCCGTTGGACGTCATTCGGTCGAGGATTATGGCGCAGGTCCTTCTCATTGCATTTGGGCATGGTTTCTGATATGCCCGAGCAGCCGCTGACTGAAAAAGAAAAGCTAGCAAATCCGAAGATGCTCTTCTCAAACAGTCTCGATTGCATCATGAAAACTTATAGCGAAGGAGGAATCCCTATCTTCTTCAGAGGTCGTGTGCCTCCAGCACCATCCTGCACGTCCCCCTGACTGATTTACCCACAGGGATCGGATTCTCACTCGTTCGGGCGGCACCGGTGGCAGCCTGTGAGTAAATCGGGGGACCTGTTGATGTGAATGACCGCTGTGCCAGGCGTACTTCCAACCTACGATCTTGCCTACAGCTGGCTGCAGTCTACCTTTGGATCATGAAGAGAGTCTTCTTGCTGGGGACGAGATTCCAGCACTGTTCAAGCCTGCTCCTCACGGTTTCTGTGTACATTTTTTTGACTTTTAAAGAATTCCATAAGCAACTGTACAGTAGAGCATACAGATGGAATATTATTTTGACATTGTCCGCTAATCGAACTTCATGGCGTCACAGAAACTTCCTGGCGTCGCTGCAATTTGCCTTCAGGCTTGCGCAAGCAAGATTGTTCAACAAGAGCAGTTGCTAGCTCCTTGGGTACCTCGAGAGCTGAAAAAAGCACTGAGTCTCGATCACGAGAGAGAGGCAAGCTTACGCAAGATTCAACCCCGAGACCTCGTTGTTAACCAGATGTGGAGAATCTAAGATCTTTTGTACAAGTTCCTCGAACGCTAGAAGAAGAACAGATCAGGTGAGCAATGGAAACACATCAACAGATACCTTGCTGAATTCCAGTCTTCGCTTTTGCACTGCACTCAATGAATAGCTACGACATTTCATATCACACATTCAAACAAGCCAAGAGCAAGCGCACCATCCCACGATTTCGAGCGAATTCTATTCCATCCGCACGAGTCACTTCGCGATTTGCCTTATCGATCTTATTGCCCACCAAGAGTTTGACAACCTGTGCATGCGCTATCAACTGCCTCGCAACCAAAGTAGCAGATGCGATAGTACTCCGTCTCGGTTTGTGTACATGTCCACCTCTTTCAACCACTGCAGCTTGTTACAAACATGTGAACCAGAGATTTCGAGCTTCACCTGCTCAAGATTCTCGAACGTTTCCTTGCGAGTCACATCGTAAACTAGTAAAACATCAGCCATGTTCCTCATAAGATTTTTCTACCAAGAATAACGCCCTGGGCACCACGGTAATAGCTACTAGTCAAAGTGCGGAAACGCTCCTGCCCTGAAGATCCTTGCAGATAAGCAAACAAGTAGACATGTTGAATAAAACAGAAGATCTTGAGCTAGACTGACCGGCTGTGTCCCAGATCGTCAGTTTCACTTTCTTCCCTTCCACGTCGATTGATTTGACCTTCACAAACAATCACGAATAGCTTGCTCAATACCCAAGGAGATGAGATCGGGACCTTGAAATCAACCCCTATGGTGGCAGGCTGATCCGTAGCAAAGGAATCATCCGTAAATCGAAGTAGAATGCTTGACTTGCCAACACCACTATTCCATGTAATTTGTCAAGCGCTTTTCGCGGGGTGTGGTTGGGATATTGGATGGAGAACAGGAGAAGGATGAATAACAGTATTCCCTGTTTCACAGCATGCTATTCAAGCAGAAGAGCCAGCAGACTCTGATTTCCATGAAAGTTGATGCAGGCACACGCATACAAGTAAGAACAGTGAGGGTCGAGCTCAGTTGATCATTTCAAATTCGAAAAATGGAAAGATGTAGCAAGTGTCTCAGTTTGAGGAGGTACTGTCAGAGCATTATTGGATGATGGTGAAGAAGTTTAGTATCACATCGGTCGATTTTCAGCATGTGGCGGGGTGAATTTCAAAAAAGTAGGTGTAGGCTATGGAGAAGGTGCCGGTGATGGGAGGAGGAGAGAGGACGAGGAAAAAGACAATGAAACAGCGGAGAAAGAGGGAAATGAGGGAGGAAGGTTGGTGAGGCATGCAGGATGGAGGGGTACCTGTCTCCTGTGAGAAGGAGCTTGAAGCGATGATCGAACGCGTCGCTCTCCTTGGCCATGGCTGCCAAATCTGCCACCCACGTGTAGAGGCTGCAAAGCAGGGGTAGTAGGGTCTTGGGTGGGTACAGTACCAGGCCGTCGGGGGTACTGAGTCGAAAGGGGTACTGGGAGGAGAGATGGAGGGGTACCTGGTATGCTGCAATAAGATTCAAAAAGTTTAGGAGGGAGGCGGAGGGGTGGTTTTGATATTTGAGGGGTAGGGATGGGAAGGGGTACAGAGGTAGGGGTGGGTCTTTCCTTGCGATTGTCATAGAGGCACGATGGGAGCACGTGGGGTAGGGTGAAGAGAAGGGGTGGTGGGGTAAGTGACATGTGAGGGTACGGGTCCAGCCATTCAAAAAGAGTAGATCAGGAGGCTGAGGGGTCCCCTCGTATGGGAGGGGTGGAGACTTGCTTCCTCAACGGGGAATCGAACCCCGGTCTCCAGGGTGAGAACCTGGTATCCTAACCGCTAGACGATTGAGGACTTCCCGATCTGTCCAAACGGAGGCCTGCAAAGTTTATATAGTACATCGGCCCGGGCCGCGACTCACGAGTCACTGAGTCCGACTCACCGGGGCCTGAGCCTCCGACCGTGGCACTGCACGCTTGCCGGAGAGTGCACCTCACTCCCATCAGCGACGCTCGGACGCCAAGCTGAGAGAGATGTTCGCAGTCGAGCTGACAGCCGACACCTTCAACTTCGGCAGGCCGCCCGGCCCCGCGGGCCCGGTAACTTACTGAGAACTTCGTGAGCAGCGCCGTACTAGGGCAGCCCGGCCCGGCCCGGCCGCCGCTCCGACGCTCCGGGCCGAGGCCGTACGGTCCGATCTGCTCAGCGGGCACCGCGGGCCGGGCCCGGGGTGCCACGGTCGGACTGGCTCGGACGCCGGCGGGCCGGGCGGTCGCCGGGTGACCGGGTGCAGTGCAGCGAGGGGATGGGGTCAGGGATGGGGTACTGCAGGTTCAGTCTGGTCGGGGAAATGCACGACGAATTCCTTCTATTGTCGGTAATCCTCCTCGTCCTCGTCCTCCTCCTCGTCCTCCTCGTCCTCCTCCTTCTCCTTCTCCTCATCGTCCTCCTCCTCGTCCTCGTCCTCGTCCTCCTCGTCCTCGTCCTCGTCCTCGTCCTCCTCCTCGTCCTCCTCCTCCTCCTCGTCCACCTCCTGCTTCTCCTCCTTCTTCTTGTCGATCTCCTTCTCCTTCTTCTCGTCCTTCCTATCCTCCATCCCGGTCTTGTGCTCCCTATCGATGCCACAGATGAAGGAGAAGTTCCACAGCGCTTGCAATCTGCTGCTGCAACAAGCCGGCAACTATGACGCGCTGCTGGCTCTCTACTACCTGGTCGGCTATCTTGGCATGACCAGTCATTGGACTAGCACACCGAGGCAGCTACGCCTTCCTACCCTCAATGAAGCGCTATCGCAGACACTACTGCTAGTTCAACTGGAAGCTTTTACT